ACAATGAGGAATTATGTCTGAAGTTGGCAGGAGCCACAGTTGATAGGTGATCAAGAACATGCTGTTGTAACGGGTTGAGCATCAGACGACGCACTTGTTTTGCTTTTCACATTGTGTCACGCCTCGTTCTCCCTTGTTCCTAAACGCTTCATTATTCATATTAACACTATTCATTTCCCGACGTCAAGCCTGTCCAAGGCAAGTTTGTGAGCAAGTTCAAAGCACCGGAGGGGCTCAGTGGTAGAATACTGGCATCACTAACAGCAGACACAGTTTCGAACCCCATTGTGCCTTCGGTGTTACTATTTTTATTTACTGAGTTCTTCCTTTATTACTTCGTGCAATAGCGGTTACAGACACCAGTGGTGACGGAAGTGGCAGTGGAAAATTGTGGGGCCGCTCCTAACTCGTGTTGTGATACCGCAGAAGCTTTCACTGTGAAAAATTTGGTGAAAGTTACACCAAGCCACTGTAGGCGAAGCACCATTGTCTCGAGTCAAGAGAGCAGGGCCGACGCCAATGTCGAGAAGACGGGTGCAGCCGATGCAGACGCGAATGCCACAACTTGCTGTAGTCTTCAGGAATTTCAAATCTTCATGAGAAATCTCTCGTACTTTGATAATAGCATCTGTCCTTGAGAACTAGATGGTTCTTGTACACCGTCTTTTTGCGCAGATTGAGCACCTATCTCGGCATACTCGTTGCCCAATATGCCGCAATGACTTGGAAGCCATTGGCCCCGCCACGGTGGTCTAGTGGCTAAGGTACTCGGCTGCTGACTCGTAGGTCGCGGGATCAAACCCCGGCTGTGGCGGCTGCATTTCCGATGGAGGCCGAAATGTTGTAGGTGCGTGTACTCAGATTCGGGTGCACGTTAAAGAACCCCAGGTGGTCGAAATTTCCGGAGCCCTCCACTACGGCGTCTCTGATAATCATATGGTGGTTTTGGGACGTTAAACACTACAAATCAATCAATCAACTTGGAAGCCTTTGAAACGTGAATTTTCCTTGAACGAAGAGGTGGTAGACCAGCTCTTTATTTCAAACACTAATTATCTATGTAGCCTACCACGTAAAATGAATATCAAACACTGTTGTTTCGCCTTGCACTCCACAACACGCTTCATTTTTGGTTTGTTGATGGTGCAATGCTTTGCGTGTATGCTTTGCGTGTATGTCTAGAATAAAAAGCCGCACGTTGGCTGAATGTTGTTTCTTAAGCAAAAAATTAACTCGGTAAGTTCTTCTCTATTGTTGCGAATAAGCTGGACACTGGAGGCCGAGTGAGCACTCGTATATGCACGTTAGTGCAAAGGTTATTACTGTTTAATGCGCGAGAAACTTTGTTTATGTTGCGGATAAGGTTATGTGCTGCAGATGAGCCGCTGCCCTAATGTAAGCATGAGGGATCATATCAATTGTCTCTGAGAGGACGGCTACTCACGGATTTGTTCATGCATTGTGCGCAGTGTGGTTGCGAAGCTCGCTTTTCTGACACGGTCACTCTAGTTTATACGTCCGTGATTGCACCAGACAGAAACTTGCAGAGCCGTTTCACATTCACATTCGAGGCTCATTCTGTATCACTCACCCGACATTAACTCTTACCAGCAAAAAAAAAAAGTTTCGGCAAAGAGTTAGTAAGTAGCCATGCTGTGACAGCGCCCTCTGTTGGTTTAGTTAGGTTGGTGCGCACGTCCAGCCATATGTATGCCCGTGTCGTTTCCTCACCCTTCTTCTTGTCAAAGTTTGCGTTTAAAGTTTCTTTCACATGAATACAAAGCGCATCTACCAGCCGTTATCTGTTGCAACAATCTCGAAGGGAAGCACCAAGCACTGCCATTTACCGCAAGCATGTCATGGGATGCCTACACTGCAGGAAACAAAGCGTGCAGTTTTTTGTAATGGAAACAAAACTTCCTTAGCTAGTGGGAAAGAAATTTTTCAGCGGTGAGGGATTTCTTCTGGAACAAAAAAATGAGCACCCCGCCTCTCCCAACACACGATCAATTTCGGAAACATTGGCTCTAATGGCATCCCTGGTCAAGGATTCTTCGCAGCTCAATGCATTTACCCCATCTTCCAAACTGCGGCCTTATCACTATAAAGGACGTGCCGGTAGTCACAATTCTCCGTGAGGATTGCTTGATACGCTTAGCATTGATGTTACCAAATCTTGTTTTTCCCCCTTCGTCGTATCTAGTTGCAAACATTTTTGTCATTATCTGCTGTTTGACGATGGCGAGACGAGCGCTGAGATAAAAGCACCGGTCAACTGACAGATCCCTGTATCCACTTTGAAAATGGTCTTACAGTCACGGTCAAAGCTTCAGAGACAACAGTCACCGTTCCTTGGAACCTTCCGGCGGTTCCTTGCGAAGCTCGAGAGCATGCATTGCGCACGCGCGTCCTTGTTTACGTGTCAGTTTTCCGCTTCACTCGCTTCAAGTGTGCGCACACTGGAACGCCACAAAAATAGAAGTGTATAGTGGTGGTATGGTGACGAAACTACGTAATACACCAGCTCTGTGCGCCTCAAAATGCGCTGCCCTCTCAGACCTATTGTCACGCGGAACACACGCTTACTGATAGTTTTTTCGCAAAACTACATATGTCATATGATTACACAGCAGCTTCCGTTCATGACCTCGTATAAGCTGCAATTTCTCGCAGGGCTCGGCGTAATCACCCGTGCCCATTCAGCTTAGCACCACAAGCACTAAAGTCACATCAAGCCCACTCATAAGCGCCATGAGAAAAAATCTCGGTGTCAATTGGTTTTTGGCGCAAAGTTAAAAGGAAACGTACATAAGCTTCAGAAAGAGAAAAAAAAAACCTTGCTAGCTGACGCGTCCGTAACCCCAGTACAGGACAAAGACTTGATCAAGTAGAAAAAAATTCTTTCAGTCAAATCACTCGGTGCTTCCGCGGAGAGAGAGAGAACTCTTTATTTAAAAGCAGAGATGTTAACTGGCGTATACAAATCCCTGACTGGGCTATCCTGCGTGCGGAAGGAGATGGGGGATTGAAAGTAGAGAAAAGGAAAGAGAGAAAAAAGACAGAACGTTGGGATAGAAGGTAGAAAAAATAAACAAGCCCACATGTTAGACCAATAAATAAAGACATGCAATAATACTTTTTTCGCTGATGTCAAGGTGCAGCTAAAGTTTGTCCATAGCTGTCCGATACTGACCAAGTACGCAAACAAAAGAGTCATAGCCCGCCTCTGAAGCGTGGGGCTGGTTAAAGGTTCCTGTACACCATCAAGGGAGAACGTTATCGCGGTTATCAAATTCACGCAATGTTCATAGAGTGCACGCTCATCAGCATACGTTCTACACACAAACAAGGTGTATTCCATAGTTTTGATCGAGCCACAGTTGCTGCAGCACGGGCTCGCTAACTTATTGAAGCGGTACCGTAAGCTGTTTATATAAATGGTTTCTAGGCGAAGACGACGGTATAGTGTTTCCAGATGTCGAGGAATCGCATGAGATTCTTGTTCTGAGCTAGGAATCGATTGAGTGAAAAAAAAGCAATATAATTTTTTGGAAGATTCCCCTATTTACTTCAAACGTAAGTATTTTGCCATCTGAGAAGCATCAGATTTGATAAAATAACTTCGTCTGTAATTATGATGTCAAAGATCTTCGCGCTCTGCTTCGTCTCCTTTTGATGCCAAAATGAGCCGGTATCCGATGAAATGTGATATAGTTATCTGCAATAATTTCCAAGTGGTGTAGGTATGCTATATCTAATGAAAAGGGGTGAGAGTTCGTTTTTGTTAAGAGAATGAAGATTACCTTTAGTGCTACCTTGGATACTGTGGAAACTACCTTCGATCCGGCGTGTAAAGTACAGCTTCTTCAATGTCATCAAGTTCAGCTGCCATCGAGGATGTCATCCGCTGCAACTGATAGGATAGCATTTCTGTTTTAATGATAGATAGGTATGTGGGGTTTAACGTCCCAAAACCACCATGTGATTATGAGAGACGCCGTAGTAGAGGGGATACTAACAAGAAGCTTGGCTACCCTGCGTGGGGAAGGAGATGGGGGATTGAAAGTAGAGAAAGGTAAGTAGTAGAGTAAGGAGAGTATAAAAGAGGGCTCCGGAAATTTCAACCAGCTAGGATTCTTTAACGTACACCCAAATCTGAGCACATGGGCCTACAGCATTTTCGCCTTCATAGGAAATGCAGCCGCCGCAGCCAGGGTTCTATACCGCGACCTGGGGGTCAGCAGCCGAGTACCTTAGACACCGCGGCGGGTGCGTTTGCGTTGTAGAGGGACTATAAAGTCTACAAGCGGAAGCCTCCTGAGTGGTTGAGGCGTCGTTTGAAATATGTGAGTACTGAGCATTGTGCTTGGCTAATTAAAAGAGACTGCAGATGCGGCCTATTTTCGGCGTCTGTGGAAGTGGCACGTTTCCTTTTCTCTGGTGCTTCGGAGCACACGCACTTGGAGCAGTGAACAAACACACGAGGAGGTAACAAGGGACGCACGTGCGCAGTGCAATCTCAAGCTGTGCAACCAGCCATCAGAAAGTACTGCGAAGCTTTTTCTACGTATGCCCATGGTCTTCAGGCCGGGAATAAAAATTCGCAATTGACAGCTTCTCTTACAACGTTTGAGGTTCCATATATTGTCATCATGTCTCTACGAAATTACTATACAAGTTGTGCGTTCCTGACAAAAATATCATGTCTTTCATAGTTACAGTCCTGATAATATCTTCCCAAGTCACGCTTCCATAAAAACCCATGGGATAGCAGTCTGGCCACTTTTGACTCCCCCCCCCCACCCCCTTTCCTATACGTTAGTGGAGCGCTAAAGGTGTTAATGGTGCATATCTAATAAAAAAAGGAGGAGGAGTGCGTGTAACCGTTCACGAGAGCTTCGACATATGCAGAGAGGATCAAACGAATTGGGCAGGCTCTGAGATACCGGCAGCCCTTCAACAGTGTCCACGAAAATTTTCGATAACAAGCATTCACAGTATTTTCTTACACAAAACTTAGCAGTTTATTTCAGTAAAAATAAATCAACGAGAATAAACTCGGTTACATCGTTAAAACACCGGGAAGCAGTCTACACCTGCGTCCTGGCTCCTCGATTGTGCGGCTTGATAAGCCCAATGAAGGTCTGCGTCGAACAAATCACGCACGGTCGGTCTGTGAAGACACTGCCCGGTGCCGGGCCAAGTGGATTTGCGTCGTCGTCACCCAACTCAAGTTGTTCAGCTGTCTCTGCATTCCGCATCCATGTGCACCGCTCTATCATTCCTGTTAGGTGGTGGGTGAAATGCACGTGCATTACTTCGAGCGAGCTCAACTGAGAGGCTGCCCATTCGATGAAGACTCGCGCGGTTAATTCGTCATGCGCATTGGGCGTCTGTAGACACAGGAATCGTAAGCCAGTGAGCATTGGTAGGTCCTTCCGAGAAAAAAAAAAGCCAAGGGAAATTAGAAAGTCATAACGCCACGGCATCACCAGTTAAAGCAAGAGACTTCGTATTCGTTTTCATATTCACCAACATAAGATCATTCCTGAAAACGTCATAATTTGTCTCCGCAAAAGATATAACGTAAGCTTCCTATAAAAAAAATACACGTATGAACGTGATAGAACACTTCCTTCAATATTACAAGAAAAAAAAAGTGGTTGCCCGAAAAATGTCATTGGACGACGGCGAAAAGGCGCGCAACGGCGATTGCATGATTACGCTGTGCAACTGTGATTGTCGGCTGCTCACAGTGAAGCTAACACGGCGTTAAAATAGGTACAGACAATGATACAGAGACCGATTCAAATAATGTACTCGCAATATATAAAGCATCCTATTGGTAGGTAGGTAGGTAATAATCTTTATTAAGAATCAAACGAGGAATTATCGTATTGGTGACGTTTTCACTTAAACCCTTGAGGGATCAATGAGGGCTCACGCAGCCAGAGCTCAAAACCACAGTTGAACTTGAATCACATACCTGATACATGTCTTGGTTGTAGCGTATGCCAGGAAAGCTGAGAACGAGACAGCGCAGAAGCGTATTTGGACGCAACTTCCTCAACAGGCTCTTCAAGCGTACCATGGCCTGATCGCACTTGCCCGACATGCGAAACTCGGATATTCGGGACGTGCTCAGAAAATCGAACGAAGCGAACTCTTTCACGTTCGAGAAGGAGAGACGACCACATGTTAGATGATTTTCTGCAATGGCCCCGAGTTCCAGAGGCTGCCAACAGCGGGAACATGTTCGATAATCCGTGTACACGCGAATGTCGAGGTCGTCCAGCTCTGTGCAAGTGTTCGCCAGCCGGCCCATCGCACCCGGATGCCAGACGCCACAGGGTGTGACGGAAAGGGCCGTCAGCGTCTTCAGTCCGGCGTCAATCAAAACATTCGTGAAGTCCGCCTCGTCTTTGAAGTGGAACGAACTCAGGTTAAGCTCCTTGAGGTGACAACATGAACCAGTCTTGAAATGCCCGAAGAAGGTCACGAGCCCGTTTGCGATGTCGGCGTCAGCTCGGGCAACTTCTTCGGCAGCATCTCCCGACCTGACGAGTACAAGAGTAAGGCTACGTACATCACGCCAGTGGTTTCGTGTCCCCGCTTCGCGAATTTGAGCTGCCGTGGGTATCCCCTCGTCATTGTTAATCACCACGATAAGCGGCTCTGCGGGACGCAATGGTTCGACACGAACGGCGAGATCCCTTGCGCGAACGCAGTTCCTTGTTGGAGGATTTCGCCTAAGCAGGAGGTTGCCGCAAACCTTGGCCCAGTTGCTGATAGCAGGTTCCTCCAACGGCCTATTCACGACCGGTTCTTGCTGAGCTTCTGTGGGTGCTTCCGATGTCATCTTGAGGATCTGTATTCTGGGAGCCTGGCGCCATAAACTTTCCATGTCACGAACTGCTAGGGTCAGCAACTCGCGCAGATTGTGAACGTGCAGTTCAACCAAGTTCGGCAGCTTCTCCAACATTGCGCTGAGAACTCGAATTCTGAGCAAACCGGAAACTTCGACGTACAAGTGGCGAAGGCTCCCGGAGATAGTTTCCATTGCTCGGATCGTGCTCAGCATCGTCAACGCTTCCTCTCGGTCCACACATTCGTCGAGCGTCAACTCGAGGTGGCTCAAGTGCGGCAGCTTCGGCAGCACGTTGATAATAAGACTCTTCAACCTTATCCCGCTGGATACGCAGTAAAGCATGCGAAGCTCCGTGCAGCGTATGATGCACCGGCAAAGGTCGTCCGGGTCCGCGACCACGCAGTTGGTGAGCTCCAATTCGTGAACATTTTCCGGGCGACCCAGAGCGTTCAACTGCTGCTCTAACACTGTTACTTCGTCGGATGGACTTAACCTTATCCGCATTGTGTTGACGCTCGGCGACTAGACAAGCGGGAAAGACGAAAGATCGTGCGAAAGCGTGAACTACTGAGGCTTTGTGCTGCGGCGCGCAAATCTTTTCTGTATTAACGCAGCCTGTGCTAATATCGTTACTTTTTGAATGTTCACTTTTACTCTCTCCCACTTCCTTGTTGACAAGCATCATTCGAAACAGCTCGCTTTCACTCGTTGGTACGCGTGTAATATCGACGCTTGCTGAGTAATTCAGCAGATAACGCATTTCCTTGATTATCAAAGGAAATGAAATAGCGCACAAATCCATGAGGTCTTATCTGGAGCTATAGTACCAGATTCATCTTTATAAATGATTACTTTAAAGCAAATTGTGTATGAACGGTGCACCATCTAATGTCAGTGCACGTTATGGAAGACTCAAGGATGATTAGGAAGACCAGGTGGTTGACAGCCATGCGGCATGCCTGATAATGATATCCTGAAGTTGGCACCTAAAATCCCACGTTATTGTCCCTGAATGAATGCTTGTAATGTACTTGAGCATGCCGCATTGTTATTCCTTCTTTATTATTCTGATTTATTGAAATAAGGAGAAGCGCCGCCTTCAACGTCAAGTAAAGATGCCCTTGACTGAATTCTGAACACGCAATCTGGTGCTTACATATACGGGGTGGCCAGCAAACTGTTGTGCAGAGAGAATGCAGTCATATTTTTCTAGCAGACGCTGCCACTTTCAGCCTTGTGAGGCAAGAGATGGGGAGGCAGGCGACAGTTTGGCGGGTGTCTTCCTGGGCCGTAACGAGACGCGAGCATGCGCAGTGTCTGTGTAGACGGCGCCACCGCTGACGCCGACGCACGATATCGTGTGACTTAGAAATGCTCCGCATTTAAAATTATGCCACCTCCCCGAAGGGCACCATTGGATGATGTGGAGCATCGCGGCAGGAGTAACCAACACCGCGTTCACACTATGCGTGGTACACCACTATATATATATTGAATCATGCGTTCATTATTTGACTTCAGTGACTTAAGTAAATACGGTCGTACATGTTGCATAAACAATTAAAAAATCTAGGGCTTGACAAGAACTCAGAAGAAATGGTGATGATAGGTATAGTAAATAAATAGAAAAGGTCAGCCCAGTTTCATTAGAACGAAAGCCCCTGCATTAGTTAAACGGTAGTCGCCCGTTCGAAAATGAACAAAACAGATTAATAGGTGGCAAGCAGCACACGTTTGTATAGTGAGTTTATTTACACACAGACGGGGCCACCTGTCAAATTTAGGGACGCGACATGTGCATGTAAACACAATTATGTAGTGCTCTCGTTCATGATTGGCTGAGGGCACTCGTGTATACCTTCCACAATGCTTCCAACAGCTTGTAAAACAGAGTATAGGCGCGTGAATGCATCCACGTTAAGCGGTGCTATAGCTGTAAGACACCGACAGACATTGCGCAAGCACCCCCACATCAATGTACAGTAAACAATAAACACCTTCTCTAAGAACACTTTCTACTTTCATGTTTTACCGATTCATCTAACGAATAAATAAACCGCGTTTTTTTGTTGTTATCTCTGCTGAAAAGGCGGCGAGACGGGCACCGAGAAGAAACCATCGTTAAGCTTACAGATCTCATTAGGCACATTTAGAATGGTCTGTACAGTCGCAGCAAAAAATTGGGGGACGCTTAAGCTTCCTTTTTAAAGAGTTGAACGCAATAGCGAAATCCAGCCTTTAGTGCGCCCTCCAACCGCGAAGTGCATACTTATTAATATGTTTTGTTACACACACGCAAACACACGCCCACAAACGCGTGCGCGCAAGCGCGATGTATGTCCAGTAATGGTACAGGTTTTCAAGCTATTCAATAGCCCTTTTATAAATTGATTAATTTATATGTGGGGTTTAATGTCCCAAAACCACCATATAAATATGAGAGACGCCATGGTGAAGGGCATCGTAAATTTCGACCACCTGGGGTACTTTATTTGCACTCAAATCTGAGCACACTGGCGTACAACATTTCCGCCTCCATCGGAAATGCAGCCGCCGCAGCTGGGATTCGATCGCGCGACCTGCGGGTCAGCAGCCGAGTACCTTAGCCACTAGACCACCATGGCGGGGGCACTTTCATAACTTCATTAAAATATTGTGCAGTGATAAAGTCACATGGTCCTAAATTATGATGTGCGCGTAGGCGTGACACTTGTATTCGTAAACGGTCACATTCTGTCATTCGCCTTGCGTTAGTTGTCCGATAATAGGTTTATAGCGAAACGACGCGTTGTCTGCTACGGTACTTCCGGTTCGAGGCTTATCTCTTCGCTGCTTTAAGGTGCCTACTGCGCAGTGTAATCAAGGAGGAAAGTCGTACAGTTCTGTGACGCGTGCGTTGCTTTTTTTTTAGCATGCATAGACGATATTTCGCGCTTTTCAGAGAACGAAGCGGAAAGTGGAAATAGACAAACACTAGGAATGGTAAGACGCGCGTTTCTACCGCAGCATGCGATATGCTTTGAATCATGCAGTAATCTTTTTACAGAACCACCTCAATGTACTATTTTCGAGCACAAATGTTTACCACTTCAAAGTCACTCACACTTATGCGCACATGCTGCCAAATGTTAACATACGTTCGATGATAACAAATGTACGCGTACTCTATATGGACGCCGCTAAGCGCGTAAGAGGCTCACAGGCAACATGGCTGCTTTATTAATAGTATCGTGGGACGTAAAACGATTGTACTCGCTTCTGAAGCTCCGAGTAGCATGGTATGGCGTCTTTATTATGTCAGATTTGCAAGGGTAAACTGCCGATAGGCTGTATTTCGTATGTTGTGTGCGGGGAATTTCGTAGATATTGAACCAGAATGTTAGAGTGCGTGAGGGAATGAGATCGCACGCATAGGAAGTGGGAAAGGTGTAAAAAAGCCTGAAAACTACGATCGCATTTCATTTTCAGAGTGAGAATCAGCTTATTATTGTCATTCACTTTATTGAAGCCAGGATGTTGTCTTTGTAACACAAAGCCAAAGAAATAGTTTTACGGGAAAGCGGCGTGAAAAAAAAAATAAATAGCCCGGTATTTTGTGGTGCTTAATGTCCAGAAAATCATTAAATGTGACAAAAGATGCGTGATAACACCTAAAACAACAAGCATGTGCCCAGAGGTGCATACCGCTTGAATTAAGAAATACTACCTCGTAGTGCCTGCATTTTTTATTCAACTAAACTACATAGCTCTTCAAACCCTAATGCAGCAATTAGGAAGGAAAGGACGCTGCGGGTTCTGGGTGGAACACGCAGAAAGTGACTGCACTGACAAAAAGGCCCGTACGGTGGCACATTATATCGAACTGGAAACCGATGCAGGCGGCCGCCGTAGCCCAAAATCCTTTGCGTGAGCAACGATTTTGCTATCCACCTATTATTCGACTTGTTCTTCTGGAGACCTTTTCTGGCCAACCAGAACAAGCATCGCCTTATGGTCGGTGAAATGGCAACTGCAGTACCTTACTTCGTTAATGGTGTCGTGAGAATGAAAAGCTAAGTCTATGCAAGTGCTGTGGTTTGTTGAAATGGCGTTTCTTTGAAGCGGCATAAAGGGTCTCACAATGCCTCACAGATGGCAGCACATTATCTAGCGTTTGCTGTTTGCTTGATTGATTTGATTGATATGTGGGGTTTAACGTCCCAAAACCACCATATGATTATGAGAGACGCCGTAGTGGAGGGCTACGGAAATTTTGACCACCTGGGGTTCTTTAACGTGCGCTCAAATCTGAGCACACGGGCCTACAACACTTCCGCCTCCATCGGAAATGCAGCCGCCGCAGCCGGGATTCGAACCCGCGACCTGCGGGTCAGCAGCCGAGTACCTTAGCCACTAGACCACCGCGGCGGGGCGCTGTTTGCTTGATCGACGCCTCTGGAAAGGCATGATATGTTTTCCGCTAGATGGATATAGTTGTCCATTTTTAGAGCTGTTTGAAAGTTCCTGTGTGTTTTTAGCGGCGATGGTTGCACTATCCCGGCCTTTCTCGACGTAGTTTGATGGCCTCCCAAATGCGCCTACGAATCTCCGACTGGGCTCGTTTTCGTCGCGAACACCCGTCGAACCAAATGGGTTGAGACGACTCCTTCCACTAAATGGCATTTAGATAGTGTTTTTTTCCCGAAGCCGCTGCAAGTAACATTGTGGCTTTGTGGTAGGACACCTTCTTGCCATGCGAACGGCGCGGGTTCGATCCTCCATGGGGTCGATAACATTATTTTATTTGCCTTTTTTCTCAATTTTTCGCTCACGGACAATTTTTTCGCTCACGAGCAACGGTGCACCGACTCCAACGGCAGAATTTCTGCGACACGAGCTCTCTGACACTATCACGTTAAAATTTCAGAAAACATGGGAGCGCGTGGAAAAGCGCCCCACCATGCCTATCGGCTGTTAGGGAAGCTCGAAAGCACGCACTGCAGCATGCGAGTCCTTGTTTACCTTGCTGTCTACACGTTCACTTGGTACAAGTGGGGGTGCACCAGTACGCCAGAAAAAGCATAAGGTGTCACAACTGCACTCACTTGGGAAGGACTCATTATTGAAACGAAGATAAAAATACGTAATGCAATCTGTCCGCCTCACATGCTGGGCGCCTGATTCGCAGATGAACCACGTCGAATAAAACACGCTGTACGAAAGTGTTTTTCACAGATCCACATATGTGATAGGACTGCTCAGCCGCTTGCTTTCTCGAACCCCATATAGACCCTTTCATTGTTTAGAAGCAGCGTGGTGTTTACAGAAATTTATTTGACGAACAGTGAACATCAATTAAAATCCGGGACGGCTTCGGTAGCGTAGCCTAGAAGCAGTGGCGGGGAACGAATCTTTCAGCCAGGAGCCCGCTTATTTCTAACACTTCTGTAGCCTTTGTCTGGACAAATTCAAATACAATTTTTTCTAAGCTACACACAATATTATCCGAGGGAGTCATCAACCTTAAGTGCCTTCCCTTCACCAGAAAGCAGAAAAACTGTTTTCTTTACCCTGGCACAACTAAAGAAAAGTTTCTGCTTCTGCGTTAGAGGGTGATAATTGAGGTAACCGGATGTTTCTAGGGGAAGCAACACGTGCTGCTGATATCGCTATGTTGACACCAACTCAAAAAGGCGCTCCAGTTTCTTGCGGTGCACGGGGCGAGTATTATTCACCCCTTTATATGCGCCATGAAACAAGAAACTCGGCGTAAACCGGTTTGTAGAGCAAAGCAACAAGAAAACCTTCCAAGCTGCAACGCGTCCTCGACCGTGGTACAGGACAAAGCCTTTATCAAGTAGAAAAGATTTCTACTTGATCGAGGCTTGCCCTGCATCACCCGGTGCTTCCACGGTGACTGTAGAAGTAGCCCATTGCGATTTTTCTGGCGTTACGGCATCGCGCCACTTAAAGCGAGTGGACGAGTAACCGAGGAGGTAAAAAGGAGGTCACGTGCGCATCCCTTCACAAACTGCCGTCAGAAGAAACTGCGCATGAGTTTTGCACGTGCTCCTGCAGTCCCTTAATTTTCGCCAATGACTGTGCATTTGAATAAAGTATCGTATGGTACAGAGTTTAAAGCTTAATATTGAATCCTCATGCCTATGCGTTGTGTACAGTGGCCGACTCTCATGTCTAGAACGAGGCGGCCTTGTGCTCGGAATTTCATGAGCTACGTCTACAGTCGGAAATACGTGTCACGCGAAAACGCGCAGCGCCAACGACACCTCCCTACCACTTTTGTCCTTGTTTATCACTGCAGTGGCCAAAAACACTTTGGCTGTCGGAAGTGCTGTCAATGGTTAGCGCAGGAAAAAAAAAGCGAAAAAAAAGAGGCGAAGGGAATTTTGCTCGGTATCATGCGAGTCTCCAAGCTGAGAACAGAATCACCGTATCGATTGCACCGATCTGGCTCGAAGCACATTTTTATATTCTGCAGTTCATTTTACGGTGCTTCTGAAGTCTAAATAAATCAGGCAATCTTACAAGATACTGGACATAAAAGAACTGGGCCCTGATCTTTCAGGGAGAGGGGCAGCATAGATATAACGAAATACCAGAAGTTTATATCCAGCGATACATTGAGCCAGCCACAGCCTTTCAACGCAGTGAGTGAGAATTTTCAGTTTAAAAATTTGCGTACACAATTATCAACACTTTGATGTAGAATGAAAAAAAGTCAACTATTTCTCAGTTATATTATCGAAACACTGGCAGGCAATCTACATTTGCGTCCTTGCTCCACGATTGTGGGGCTTGATAAGCCCAATAAAGGTCTGCGTCGAACAAATCACACAAGGTCTGTCTGCGAAGACTCTGCCCGTTGCCGGATCCGGTGGATTCGCGTCGTCACCCGAATCGGACTGCTTGCTTGTCTCAACACTCCGCACCCATGTGAACCGTTCCGTCATTCCAGTCAAGTGGTGGGGAAAATGCACGTGAATGACTTCGAGCGCGTTCGAGTGAGAGGCCACCCATTCGATGAAGTCACGCACGGTTACTTCGTCGTGCGCAGTGGATGTCTCCAGACTTAGGAAACCTAAATCCTGAAGCATCGGTAGGTCCTTAAGAGAATAGCAAAATAAGAAAAAAAAGACGGTTCAAAATGACACCGCGCTACGGGTTCATGCAACACACTCCGTATTTTTTTTTCATCTTAGCCTATTCAAGATCTATTAGAGAAACTGCTTTGTCCATAAAAGATAGTGTCCATATCAAAATGCATGAACGTTCTTTGGTATACACGTAAACGGAACTCTGCCTTATCTATAGAAAAAGCACTCATACAAAAATGCATAAACATTCTATAGCTAAAAGGCGCGAAGGTCGATTGCGAGATTACGCTGTTTATTTAGAGGGCGAACTGCTCGCACTCAAAGTTACACAGTTTTAATCTTATTCCGCGCCTGTAATCACCGACTGATAAATAAAGTTTTTTTTTCATTCCATTCCGTCACCAACTGATCAGTGCCAATAGAGTACTTGTGACCTATAGATGAGCGTATTGTTCCCCCTTTTACTTGGACTTTCATGGCCCCATCAGGCGCTCCCCAAGCCAAATTTTAAAACCGTAGTTGAAATGTAATTGCATACCTGATACATCTCATGATTGTAGCGTATGTGAGGAAAGCTGACCACGAGGCAGCGCAGCAACGTATTTTGCCGCAACTTCTGGAACAATGTCGTCAATCGTAACATCGCATCATCGCACTTGTCTGACATGCGAAGCTCGGATATTCGGGACGTGCTCAAAAAATCGAGCGAAGCAAAACCTGTCATGTTGTAGAAGGTGAGGCGACCTCGGGTGAGATGACTTCCGGACGCGGCACTCAGCGCAAGAGGCTGCCAACACCGGGAACACCTTCGATAATCCGAGTAAACCCGAATGTCCAGGTCGTCCAGCTCGTGACAAGTGGTGGCCAGCCGTCTCAGCGCACCCGGGTACCAGATGGCGCAAGGTGTGACAGAGAGTGCTGTCAGCGTCGTCAGTCTGGCGTCGCTCAAGACGCGTGTGAAGTCCACCATGTCGGCAAAGTGGAAGGAACTCAGGTTTAGTTCCTTGAGGTGTCCGATACCGCCCGAGCTACCTGTGAAATGCCTCAGGAAGCTCAGAAGCCCGCTTTCGATCTCGGCGTTAGCGCGTGCAACTTCCTCGGCAGCATCTCCCGACCTGACGAGTGCGAGAGTGAGGCCACGTACATCGCGCCAGTCGTTCTGTGTCCCCGCTTCGCGTATTTGTGACGCCGTGGGTATCCCCTCGTCATTGTTAATCACGATGATAACAGGCTCGGTAGGATGCAGCGGTTCGGTTCGAATGGCAAGATCTCTCACGCGAACACAGTTTCTGGTGGGAGGATCTCGGCGAAGCAGCAGGTTACCGCAAACCATGGCCCAGTTCCTCAAGTCCGGATCTTCCAACAGCCTATCTGCAACAGGTTCTTCCTGAGCCTCGGTGGGCGTTTCGGATGTCATCCTAAGGCGCTGCAGTGTGGGAGCTTGGATCCATAAACTTTCAATCTCGCGTACCGCTAGGCTCAGTAACTCGCGCAGATTGTGAACGTGCAGTTCAGCCAAGTTCGGCAGCTTCTCCAACATTGCGCCGAGCACTCGAATTCTGAGCATGCCGGAAACTTCGACGTACAACTGGCGAAGGCTCCCCGAGATAGTTTCGGTGGCTGGAATAGCGCTCAGCATCGACAACGCCTCCTCTATGTTCACGCATTCGTCGAGCGTCAACTCGAGGTGGCTCAAGTGCGGCAACTTCGGCAGCACGTTGATAATGAGGCTCTTCAACCTTATCCCACTCGAGACGCAGTAAAGCTTACGAAGCTCAGTGCAGCGTATTATGCACCTGCAAAGGTCGTCTGGATCCGCAACCACGCCGTTGGTGAGCTCCAGTTCATGAACATTTTCAGGGCAACCCGCAGCGTTTAACCGCTGTTCCAACACCGCTACTTCCTCGAATGGGTTTAACCTTAAGTGCATGATGTCGGACGTCGGCGACCAGACATAGAGGAGGGACGAAAACGGTGCGAAGGCGTGAACTCCCGAGGCACTGTGCTCCTGGGCGGGAATCTTCGCGAATGGCCTAACATGCGCTAACAGCTCTACTTTTTAAATGTTCTCTCTCTCTCTCTCCTCCATCCTTCTTTCAAGCCGCATTCGAAACAGTTCGTTATTTCGCTACCATGTGTTTGAATACTCGTGTAATGTTGATGTGTTCCGACAGTTTCAGATTCAGCTGATAACACGTTTACTTGATAAAAAAGGGAATAAAAGAGGGCGGTAGGTAATGGCGTTAATATAACCTGTACCTACTGTCGTAAAAAACGCGAGCTGAAGTATCACACTCATGTTTGTTGAATTATTGTTTGTAGGCTGAATTTTTATGGGTGGCGTACTTTGCGATGTATGGTCATGTTAAACAACAACCGATGATGTACAATTTCTTTAGTGCTTCACTACAGCAGGCCTCACAATCAAATCTTGGCTTTGGCACGTAAAAGCTTACAAGCTGTTGATATAATCAACGATTACATGTAACGTACTGATTTCAATGTAACGCATTTACTTGCTATAGACACAGTTCATCTGGCCCGTTTGTTCGTATGCATTAAAAAGTAAATTTTGTCACACAAGTCATTAGGCCTCTTCTGTAAAAAGCAGACTTCCGCAAATAAAAAAAAACTACCTCTTCACTTAATGGAAGCATGAAGATAAAAAATCCTTACATAGCACGTCATGTATTTGCACTTTTGTTAGCGTTTGCAGGGCAAGCGCACAAACTAGACAGCCATTGCCAATTGTACCCAAAGGCGTGCAGTTTTGTCCAGTTCTCAGGGAGCTAAAGCCGCGATAAGCGAACGCTAGAATAAAGCAAGCGATATAGCATGCTTGCGTGCATTGAGGTTTATCCTGCGAACATCGGTCGGCGTAGCGTATCAGAGGCCTAGCAGCACGTTTAAGAACTGCGCAAATCAAAACTTTTCTTTGTTGTCTTCCTCTTATTCTGCGGCATGCTACAATCACTGATATGACAGACTTCCTTTTTTATTTGGAGCTTTTCATGCACTGCGACCAAGCGTATAGTTTTGTTGGCTTATACTTCCACATACAGTAACCAGATTTATGGAAAAGAACTCCTAAATATGGTGATTTAATTGATTGATATGTGGGGTTTAACATCCTAAAACCACCTTTTGATTATGAGAGACGCCGTAGTGGAGGGCTCCGGAAATGTCGACCACCTGGGGTTCTTTAACATGCACCCAAATCTGAGCACATGGGCCTGCAACATTTCCGCCTCCATAGGAAATGCAGCCTCCGAAGCCAGGATTCGAACCCGCGACCCGCGGGTCAGCAGCCCAGTACCTTAGCCACTAGACCACCGCGGTGGGGCTGCTAAATATGGTGCTTGTACAGATTAGTTCTAATCGGTTATTATAGTCCATAACATATGAACGTCACATCATTATTAAAACAGGTACAGCTGCACCCAAATGTGTCCTCAGACAGGAGTGATCGCAGCTTCAGGAACATGAACAGCAAATAGAGAGAGTGGTGCTTAACTGATACTTCCCTCGAAACAGAATACTGGGTCATGGCGCTATGACCTAATGACCCAAAGCCTTCTCTTGCTTGTGAGTCACACCACAGCTTTCAAACACTGTCAAATGAAACCCGACCAGTGAAAATTTCGTTTATCAGTAGTGGTATGGTGCGCACCGCCCAGTCATCATCGTTGACTGTCGCGCGCATTCGGTTGGGCAGCACTTCACGTGTGCACATATAGTTGGTGGTGACTGGATGGCCGACATGTGCTAAACAACTGCCAAACTTTGCCACTGTTCGGCTGTCATTTGACGCTAGTAGTAAACGCCGCTCTGTAGTCGTTCATCACCTCAGTTCCCGCATGTTCCGTCAAAAGAAGGCTATAGCCACCAAGTTAAAAGATTTGTCTTACCTCAGGAATAACTAGAAGTAAAACATTCGCAGAGACTATGCTCGGCTGCGCCATCATAGGCGTAGCGGGAACTCCGGACTGACGGACGACCGAACCACAGAAAGATCAACCACAAATAGACAGATGGACTGACGGCAAGACCAACAACGGATAAATAGACAAACGAACAAACCATGGTTGGAACAACGACCACGGATGTATGGATGGACAAATAGAGAAGAGAGAGAGAGAGAAATAATTAAAAGGAAGAGACAGGGAGGTTAACCTAGACGAACTGGTTTGCTACACTGTACGGGGGTGGAGAAAAGGGTCAGAAAGAGGATAGCTATAGAGAGATATAAAATAAAACAAAAAAAAAACACATGCGCACACATTCAGGGAGTTCCGATCACAGTCGTTTAGACAGGCCGGTTGAACGCAAGAAGCGCATGAGCGCCTTCACAGCCTTCTTCTGCAACATAAAGTCCTGTCGGCAGCGCAGGAGTCTTTCTTCCGAAAGAGGCTGATTGTCCAGTTCATCTAGTGTATTGCAGAGTGACTGTCTCTGCGAGCAGTATTGTGGGCATTCACACAAAATGTTCCAAGTTGTTTCATCACTGCCACAATGGTTGCATGCAGCAGTGTCAGCCATTCCTATGCGGAACGCGTACGCATTGGTAAATGCGACGCCCAACCATAATCTGCACGGCATAGTAGCGTCTCGTCGGCGTAATTCCGGAGGAATTCGAAGACTGAGAGTTGGGTCTAAAGTACCTAACCGTGCATGGAAAAAATGTGACTCGTTCCATTGTGACGTGGTGCGCTTGCGAGCAAGCATGCGGAGTTTCCGTGCAGCGTCAGTTCTGGAAAGCGGAATTGATATTTCATCGCTTTCAGTATGGGCAGAACGCGCAGCTCGATCGGCCCGTTTATTGCCAATTATTCCGCAATGACTTGGCAGCCATTGAAAGGCTGTTTCATGTCCTTCCTCAATGAATTGGTGAGTATTTTTTGCAATCTCAAATACCAGCTGTTCATACGGGCCGTGGCGTAAAGGGGATAGAAGGAATTGCAGCGCCGCCTTTGAGTCACTGAAAATTGTCCATTTTTGTGGCTGTTGATCGCTGATAAATTGCAATGCGGCACGAAGAGCTGTGAGCTCTGCTCCCGTTGATGTCGTAAAATGGGAGGTCTTGAATTTTCTTGTCGTGTCTTTTATCGGTATAACAAATGATGCCGTTGAACTCTTCTGTAAAACAGAGCCATCGGTGTTTACGTGTACACAGCTTTGATACGTCTCGTATAACAAGAGCAGAGCAAGCTGTCTAAGAGCAGGTGACGACATATCTGCTTTTTTCTTGTTGCTGGTATAGTTATCCTGATATTGGCCTGAGTCAGGCACCAGGGTGGAGTCAAAGGCCTGGCGGCGGGTGTGAAGCATGTTGGCTAAAAATTGCAGTATGTGGTGACCGTTTGGCCAAATGACGAACGTGGTCTAACTGCTGGTAAAGAGGCTAGGTGGTGGCAGGGTGTCCGAGCAATATGCCTTATATGTGTCCGGAGTACCTCAACGTCGATATGTGTCGTGATGAGGTGGTCACCGGCGATAGCTATAGTAGCCATTGTTGACGCACTACGAGGCAAGCCGAGGCAAATCCGGAGTGCCTGGGATTGAACACTCTGTAGCGTTCGAAGGCTTGTTTTGCTTGCATTGGTCAATGCCGGTAAACTGTACCGCAGGAAACCGAGAAAAAGTACTCTGTACGGCTGTAGCATTGCACTGGGAGACATTCCCTAAGTCTTCCCTGCAAAGAACTTCAGTATATTACAGATGTCCATTAACCGTTTCTTCAAGTACGAAACGTGATCGCTCCATGTTAGATTCCTGTCAATTATGACGCCCAAAAACTTGTGCGATCAAACGTATGGCACAGTTTGACCATTGATGTTTATAGTGTACTTATCCATAGGCTTTCGTGTAAAAGCTACGAGGGCGCATTTCTCGGAAGAAATTTTCAAGCCTCGATTTCGGAGGTAGTGTAATGTTTCAGTGGCAGCTTTTTGAATTCTTCCTCGTAACTGCAGGCGTGTTACAGCCGATGCCCAAATGCAGATGTCATCTGCGTACATTGATAGCCTGACCGTGCTTGGCAGATGCTCAGTGAGAGCAATTAACGTAAGACTGAACAGCACAGGGCTGAGTACGCCACCCTGGGGGACGCCACGGTGGCTCTAATGTGGAGAGGTTGGAGCGTCTTCAGTGCTCACAAAGAAGGATCGCATTGACAAATAACTACGTATCCAGCGATACATCCGACCAACTACTCCTATATCTTCGAGAGCGGTGAGAACAGCTTCATGCGTAACGTTGTCATACGCCCCTTTGACGTCTAGGAACAAAGATGCGCAGAGACGCTTACGGCCTTTCTCGTGTTGAACATAAGTGACCAGGTCGACTACGTTGTCAATCGATGCTCGACCACGCCGAAATCCTGCCATGGCATCTGGGTAGGTGTTGTTATACTCCAAGAACCACTCCAGGCATCCCAGGATCATCCCCTCCATAAGTTTGCCTACACAACTGGCCAATGCGATCGGACGATAAGATGAGAGGTCCAACGGTGATTTGCCTGGCTTCAGAAGTGGAACTAGGCGACTTGTCTTCCAGCTTGTCGGGAGCGTTTCATCTTGCCAGGATTTGTTGTACAACTCCAAAAGGGGGATTCTCGCGCGTTCACCCAGATGAGACAATGCCCTATAAGAAATTCTTTCGGGCCCTGGTGCCGACGTGCGTCCACACAAAGCTAGTGCTGCTCTGAGCTCCACGATGGAAAAAGGCATATCCATGCGGGAATCCAGTGTTTGTGGACAGTCAGTCGAGGGCAATAGGCTATCGGGCACTGCGAGTGGCCCAGATACTCTGGCACAGAAGTCTTCTGCCACGTCAATGCTGCGTCTCTGTTCAAAAATTTCGAGAGCCCTGAATGGTGACCACTGAGTGGGTTTTGTGCGGAGACCTTGTACCGTCTTCCACAATTGGGATAAAGGTTTTCGTGGGTCAAGTGACTCACAAAAAGCAGTCCAACGTTGTGTCTCGAGTTTATTTATCCGGCGCTGAATCTTCTTTTGTAT